TGATTCTTAGAGTCCCGAGGGCGGGCCCCAACCCGAAAGTCTGCATCTCCCTACCTGACTCAGTTTAACTGTCAAGGATTTCATGGATTGATGCCATGTTTTTGTTTGGCCACCACTTACTCTTTTCCAACCTGCACCTATATCAGCTAGTAATGCCCGTCGGGGGAGACGATGGTTGGGCATGCGCAGCACGTGGCCTAACCATCTCAATCTATGTAACTTTATAGCCTCTTCGAGTGATTTTCCCTCTTTGCCCAACACTACGCCTAACGTCAACATTACTTACCTTATTATACCACCTAACGCGAGAAAGAGATCGTAGACATCTGTGGTCAAAAACAGACAATCTCTTCATGTCTTCCGCTCTCAATGGCCACGTCTCACCACCATAGAGAAGGACGGAGCGAACTGTTGAGCAGTATACACGTCCCTCGGTTGACAGCCGGATGTCACGCCTACGCCAGAGACGGTGTAAGTTAGCGAAAGCAGCCCTAGCTTTCTGGATCCGTGCTGTGATTTCGTCACCAATCAATCCGTTGGTGCTGATACAACTTCCCAAATAGGTGAAGTGGTCAACATGTTCTATCACTTCATTCCCTATCACTAAGCTGGGAATTAACGTAGTCCAGTCCTGTAGCAGCATCTTACATTTTACAGGGGCGAATCGCATGCCAAACATACGAAGATTGCTGCCCAGGGTGTTCAGAAGACTCTGCATATTGTCAGCGTCCTCCCCTAACAGGACTATGTCGTCTGCGTATTCTAAGTCTATAAGACTATTCCCTGGTAACAAGTCGATTCCTAAGTCATTAGGTTCAGTTAAGGATACTTCCATTAGCATATCTATGATGAAGTTAAACAGAAAAGGGGAAAGTGGACATCCTTGACGGACACCACTGGTTGTTATCAATTCAGATGACAATTCCCCATAAGCCCTTACACAGCTACGTGAGTTTGAGTAGAGTGCCTTGATTAGTGCAATGTACTTTCTTGGCACTCCCTTCATAGTCAAACATTGCCATAGAACCTCTCGATCCACGGAATCGAAGGCCGCCTTCAAGTCAAGAAATATGGCAATTGTTGGACGCCTAAAAGTGTGCCTATGTTCTAGGATCTGTCGGAGAGTGAAGATATGATCTATGCACCCTCTACCTGGCCTAAAGCCTGCTTGATTTTCCCTCGTTTGTTCCTCCCGAGTTCGGCTTAGTCTGTGCATGATTACTGAGCCTAGGATTTTAGAGACTATGTTCGTTAGGCTGATCCCCCTATGATTATCACATGAGGACTTGTCTCCCTTCTTGAATATCGGTATAATAAGTGACTTACCCCAGTCTGATGGAACCGTCTCTGATTCCCAGACGTTATCTAGTACCTTAGTTAAACTATATACTAGTATGTCACCCCCATATTTAAATACCTCCGGAATAATTCCGTCGGGTCCTGCCGCTTTGCCTCGTTTCAAATTACAGATAGCTTTGGTGACCTCACTTACAGATTGCGGGCCAGTGTCTATATCCCATTCGGGTGTGTGCTGGATGGCGGGGAGGCTCAGTGTGGCTGTAGGCAAGTTAAATTGTTCCTCAAAGTGTTCTTTCCAGCGTTCGAGGCGTCTATCCTGAGAGCTAATTAAGGAGCCATTTTTCTCACAAATAGTCTCACTTATGATTTGCCTTCTCCCACCCGTTTCCCTGATGAGTCTAAAGAGTTGCCTAGTGTTGCCTATCGCCGATGCTTTTTCCATCTCTTTCGCCTTTGCCAACCACCACTGTTCACGGTCCTTGCGGAGACTTTTCGTAAGTTTCCTTTTGTGCAGCTCTCGCTTCTCATTGAATTCGGAGCTCCCCGGAATAAGTGTTCTAGCATCTATCAGTTCGGATGAGGCAGTCGAAATCCAATGGTTTCTACTCACCTTTGGATTTACCTTATTCACAGCTTTTACAGCTGTATCTATGACTGATTGAATATTCTTCCAGGCTTCTTCAGGGTGAACGCAGCTGTCAAACTCAGATATGTGTTTAGCTAGTTCTTCCTCAAATAGGGACTTAGTTTCCTGACCGAGCTGGGGACGTGATAGGTTCACCGCCAGCTGCTTCCTAGTGTCCGTTCAGTCGTAAGCACACACGAGCGCGGACCAGTGCGTGATCGGTATCTACACACGTGTTCCAGAAGGAGCGACAATCCCCTACCTACCCACGCCAACGATAGCTTATTGCCATGTGGTCTATTTGTGTCCAGCGTTGGTTTGATGATGGAGGTCGCCAGGTAAGACAGTGTCTCTCCTTGTGTTTGAAGTTAGTGCTTACAAGAAACAAGTGATTATCTGAACAGAACTGTAGGAGACGGTCACCGTTGTCGGTTCGCTGGCACAGAATTCCGTATGTGCCACCGACATTCTTCTCAGATTGACACAATTTCCCCACTTGAACATTAAAGTCACCAGCTAAAACGACTATATCTGAGCGTTTAGCCTTTCGCAGCAAACTAGACAGCTTTTGGTAGAACTCATCCTTCGTTTCATCCGAACTGCAGTCAGTGGGGGCGTAGGCGGAGATTACGAAAAGGCATCGGCGAGTAGTGCAGTCCTTTCTCCTTTTCACTGATCCGTTCAGACGGACAGCACACATTCGGCTATCTACCGGGATCCAGTCAAGTAATTTCTTTTCTGCCCTAGTACTCAGAGCTATCCCAACACCAGCTAATCCTCGTGAGCTAGCCGTCTCATCTCCTGACACCCTCAAGGTGAATTTTGCAGATTCATCCTGTTGGCCAGGTGGGGTTAGGTGAATAACCACACTTGGGTCCTGTATGCGTGTTTCTGAAACACAACATACATCAATGGCTCGGGATGCCAGAGTCTTGGCTAGTGATGCCTGTTGTCCTATTTGGCAAAGTGTCCTAACATTAAATGCCCCTATATGAAATTGGTGACGTGGCTTTAGGAGACTATCGATGGTGGTTTTTTGGCTTCCGTCGTTATCAGTGCACACAGAGTGAAGAGGAAGTGAAGAGCCATTAATTAGAGTAGTTGCATTAGTAGAAGGAAGGCAAGATAATAGAGATGAAGATGAAGACAAAGGAGAGTGAGGATTAGAGAGGTTTCGTGTGCACATCGGATTGTGAGGGAGATTGTTACTTCCCGGCTGCCCACACCGTGGAAGTTGGTTGCGTGACCGCAGAGCCCAGGGGACAACTGCTTCAGGCCGGTCACACACGGCCTGTTTTTGTTTGTTCTTTTTTATTTGGTGTGTCTCAGTAGCGTATTTATCACTTCTGCCCTGTGACACGGTAGCAGAAAGCGCGGTCGTTGTTAATCCGGGCCCCGACCGATCCGGCATGATATTTTGTGATTTGTTTGAAGTCATAGGATTGGACTGGGTAACTGCTTTTAGTCTAACCGCTATCCGAACAACCTTTCTGGCATGGTAAGACCTGCAGGAACATAAGTTGCAGCCAGTATAGCTTGTTGGGTCATTGCGGTGTTCAAGCCCGACCACCACGTCAAGGTAGCACTTGAAGCTATTGCGAAGGTGAATACAATATCAAACAGGTAGTAGGAAATTTTTTGATGATAAACGGTTACGGAAACCACCGATTAATTTTAATCAAAATATCACTTAGTAGCGACAAACAGTTATGCCGAAGTTGCACGTGAGTTATGTGGCCTACATAACCAGTTACCGAGGAGAATGCAATAAATTGTTGATGGGAATCAGGTGAGGTCATATGACATCATACTTATAGTATAAAAAATATAAACGTAAAAAAATCAGTCACACTGATGAACAAACAGAACTTCTGGTCAACTTTAGACAACCATCACAGAAAACAAAACAAACTTTGAGCAAAGAATATTCTTTTCGACAAATCCCTCTTCCAGCCCTACAATCATATATATATATATAATATTCTAGAATAGTCGCCACTAACAATGTTGATGTTTTCCTAAGTGATACCGATTTGTTAAGATCAATGGAATTGCAGTCTAAGAAAGATTCAGAAGTTATAGTAAGCATTAGAATGTAATACTAGGTAGAATATCAAATAAAATTAAGGAAATTTATACGACAAATTAAGGATATTTGAAACTGTGATGGCCAAGGCAAAGAAAGCGTTTGAACCAACTTCTTTTGTATACATATGTTAGGCTTCTTGAAAAGGAAGCCGATAGCTTCAGCAATATATAACAGGCGAACTCTTGAGGTTAAATTAAAACTATTCTGTAAATAAAAGATAACTTTGAAAACCTTATTAACACCAACCAGCCTCGTGTTCTGTATCCACAAGATGAGACAGAACAGAACTATGAATCGACTTTATTTGTCCTTTGCTTAACCATGCAGGATGGTGTTCGAAGTCCAACGATAAACACGTCTAAATATTCGCCTTTGTAGCTCGCTTTACAGGAGCAGTCAAATTGATACACAGAATGGGCGAAATTAGGTAATTTGCCTTCAACTCCCAAAAGTAAAATAGGAGTGGTTTTGAAGAGACCGTACTTCAGCAGCACCGAAAGTTCATTTTACCGCATTCCTTAAGCGCTGTTATTTTACTGGTGTTGTCACCGAGGAAAAGTTAGTACTTTGGTGTGCCTTGGCTTTATATTCATATTCTTGTCGACGAATTTCTCAATCAGTAACTTTAATAATATTGAACTCTTCCTGACATTCGTCAGAGCGCATTGATCTTACTCTGCGGACCAAACAACTTACTAGATGGAGTTTGTATTTCAAAGGCACGAAGCTGAACAATTAAATATACTGACCAGTTGATGTAGGTTTCTTGTATGCACTTTTTATTGTACCACCTCCTTTTCTAGTGATAAGGACGTCTAGAAGTGGGACACTAGTTTCTTTATTTCTTGATAGTGAAATTTATTGCAGGATGCACATCATTAAATTTGTCAAGAATGTTCTTTGCTCCATCCTCATGTTGCATAATCAAAAATATGTCATTTATGTAACGACAGCAGGGTTCGCGTAAGTTAGTTACATCTTTCAGAGGCCCATTCTCTAGTTTTACAAGAAGTTTCCGCCAGAATTGATCCTAATGGTGACCCCATTCCTTATTAAAATAAAGAATGACTGTTCATTCTGCATTTCAAAAGCTGTTTCATACGACATATAGCAATGTCAATACCGATAATTCGTCTAATTTCTTTACATATGAAGTTTACTGTTTTCATAAGTGGTACATTCGTGAATACGGAAGATACGTCAAACGATACCATGGATTTATTGTTAACACACATCTTTTATCCTTTCAACAGATACAAAGGTGTCTTCTACGATGTGCTTCACCAATTGAGTATGTAGGGGATGAGAGTCTGACCAAACATTTAGCTATAGGATGGTATGGGGAATCGAATACATCTATCACTGGTCGAAGTGCCGAACCATTTTCGTGAAATTTAGGCAAATCATGTGATCTCGGTGTGAACGTACCAGTGGGTTTTAGTGATGCATGCAAACTTTGAGATAGTCTTGTTTCAGCCTTTGCAATGATTCAACTAACTGTTTCTTAATCTTTTTAATCGAACCCAGGGAAGATGAGATTTTTTGGAATTTTAGATGGTCATTTACACATTGACCATTAAATATGGTGATCGGGCTTTAGTACCACAATGAGGAAACAGGCTATGTTGGTTAGCATAAATGTCCTTACAGGCTTTTCTATGCCAGAAGGATTGATCAGAAAGACTTTTGAATAAAAGCACTGAAAATGATAATTTATGTGAAGGTGAGGTAACAGTGCTGGAGTAGAATATCATCAAACTAGTTAGGCTACCTTCCCATTCAGGAGAGCAGGTCGTTAAATCCTGAGTTATTCTACGGCTGTAGGTAAATGACACTGAGAAATTACGTACGGAAGAAACTCCACAGATTCAATATGCTACGCTACACTGCGATTAACTGACTTTGATATAAGAAAACATTTATTTGTTTTTTCTCGAGGTACTCCAATAAAAAGTTAATTGACGATGTGGCCAGCTATCATGAGAGCGAAATACTCCTTTTCAACAGCTTCAACACTTAGTCAAAGCCGATGGATTTCTGTAACGTGATTCTGTAAATAATCAGTCACCCTCAGTAATAGGCAACGTATGTGAAACAAAACCGACATTTACTCAAATTATCAAAATTTCCCACATATAAATCATTTTGGCTCACGTCCCAACTAGCATTTCCTCCGGGCACAGACCACAGATAACTGTCCCACTTTCTGCAATGCGTCCGAAGAAAATGCTAGCCGAAATAACTTATATGTGGAGAATTTTGGTAATTTGAGTAAATGTCGATTTTATTCGTTCCACATTCGTTGCCTATTACTGAGGGTGAGTGAGCATTTACAGAATCACGAAGTTACAGAATTCTACGATGTACATATATCATTTCTGATTCCATAGAATTCACTGATCCCTTAAACCAGTAATAAGTCTTTCGTGAGCACATTTGTTTTGCTGTCTTCTAACTCTTTACTCCTATATCACATACCTTTAAGCTTGATTTTCATCATTCCTTACTTTTTGTCCCGAAGTCTTGAACAAAGTGAGAAAACAGGACACATGACTGCATTTTTAAGTACTTAGAGATCTAGTAACTGCCTTTGTTAGTCTTACAGCTAGTTTCCGTGAAGCACACAACTACCTTTAAGGTACTTGGGAATATCAACGTGAAAAACTATCTCAGCACGACACTGATTTAGGCAATAATAAAACATTACATACCTCAAGGCGTACAGTGTCCCAAATTCCAAGGACCTTGTCAAGTGATGCTGAAACAAATGCCCCACTGTCAACAGGGTACCACTGCACACACACAATAGGGGAGTGTTTGAATGCCAAATTCATGCTTTCTTGACAAGGACTATTTCGCAGTGACGCAACCGATTTGTGAAGCACTGAATCGGCGCACCCCATATAAGGATTCTCAACGTCAAATATGCGCATAAAACCATCCTCGGTAGCAACGAGTAATCTACAGTCCTATGAATGTAGGAATTTAATACATACAGACGGGACTCGATGGTATCTAAGGCCATATCAAATATGGAGAGTTTAGATCCAAAGTCAAACTGAATACGAGGATCAACATCAACTTCCTGAATTCTGTTCCATAAGTAAGTACTCCTATACTTGTACCCCAATAGGTCTAAATTCGGCATTTTTGATCGACGACATATCGTATACATGGATGAGGATTAAGACAGGAGAGAGGCAAAAACAGTTGATGGAAAGGCTGGACACCTGAAGGTTGTTGGCAAATTCACTTCTGAGGGCAAACGTTGCGGCTACTACGTAATGCGCGCTACTGAAGGGGGCATTGAAATAATATCCAATATCCAATATCGTTTTTACGAGCTAGTATAAACCAATTTGATTTCTTTGTGCTCGCCTCTTGATTGTGAGGTAGAGGTTCCTGATCTTCGGTAAACTTCTGTGTAGCTCGTCCCGCCAGTCGACTGTCGTAGCTCTGGTTGACTCCAACAGGAGTAGTGCTGGGTTTAATTATATGGGATTTGTAGTGTGAAGTGTGTTAAGACTGTTACTACTGTGAATGGAGTTTATCCTTTCACCAGTTAGTCCTTCGGTATCGTCGGCAATGGAAAAGAGATAATAATAATAATAGATATAATTAGTGAAGGTATTCAGACTAACAGACAGAGAAAGGATAAGAAAACGTAACAACAGTCAGTCAACCGGTATACATATATATATATATGTACATATATGCCAGTAATAATAATAATAGGTGTAGTTATAGCTGTCAGGAGAGTAAGACTGAAGGGAATGTGAAGAAGTAAAACGACCAGTTTAATTGTCTACCTTTGAATGCTATATGCGATTTTAAGGGGATAGGCCATTTGGATGCAGTCCTTGTGTTGCTGCATGGTTGTCCAGCCTTCGCTTAAAGGCGTCCACAGACTGTGCTATAGCTACATCTGCCGGCAAGGAATTCCAGGGACGGCAAACCCGCAATGAAAAGAAGTGGGAGCGCACCCGGGTCCTTGCCCTCTGATGAGCTATCCTTCTAGGGTTTCCACGAGGGAGCCTATACCTACTCAATGGCAGAACACCTTTGTTTGGGTGATTCTGATCATTTGTTATTTTGTAGGCAGTAATTAAATCCCCCTCAGGCGACGGTAACTGAGTGTGAATAGGCCTAATTTCTTCAGCCTTTCGTCGTATGGTTTATTTCGGAGACCAACCACTCCTTTTGTTGCCCGTCGTTGGACTCTTTCCAAGAGGTTGGCGTCTCTTCTAAGCAGTGGGGGTGCAATGATATTATGCACTTCAAGATGCGGTCTGACGTATGTTTTATACAACCTTAGAAAGAGCTCAGGAGTGAGTGCACCTAATTGTCTATGTGTAAAGTGTATGACCGCATATGCCCTCGCTACATCCCCCGTGTAATTTACGCTTGTGTCCATTTTCTCCGTTAGAACTAGACCTAATTCACGTTCCGATATTGAGCAGGACAAGCTTTCATTGCACAGGGTGTAACTTGCATTCTGCAGTCTACAGGTGCGTAACTTCACTACTTTGCACTTTTTCAGGTTGAAAGTCATACCACTGGCTACCGCCCAGTCTTCCAGAAGGTTTAGATCTGCCTGCAGTCTATCTGAGTCCTCCGGACACTTTATCGCCCTCCATATCTTCACGTCATCAGCGTATAGAAGAGTCGGGTAGCTTAGACGGCATGGTAAATCATTGATAAAAATCAAGAACATCAGTGGTCCCAGGATAGAACCCTGCGACACTCCTGATGACGAGCTGTACCAAGATGATCGGACTCGATTGACCTTGGTGCAAAATTGCCTTTCAGTTAGGTAGTCCTTCAACCATGACAGAAGTGGTTTACCTAGACCTACCTAGCCTATTTTGTGTAGGAGAAGGTCATGGTGAACAGTGTCAAATGCCTTCTCAAAGTCTAGAAAGATCACATGGACAGGAACATTCATATCCCAGCATGATGTCCAGTCGTCCCAAGCTGATAATAAATTAGTGACGCAGGATCTTCCTTTCCTGAAACCGTGTTGGGCTTCATGGAGTATTTTAGACCTATCCAGATATTCCCTGATGTGATCATCAATAATACTTTCCAGTACTTTCGATACCACCGGGAGTAGAGCTACTGGTCTATAACTGGTGGGATTTTGCCTATCCCCACCCTTGAAGATCGGATAAGGGATACTTCTTTTCCATTCCTTTGGCAGCTTCCCCGATTCCATGGAGTGTTGGAACAAGTCGCATAAAGGCCTACAGAGAGCTTCGGCGCACTGTTTCAGAATAGATGGCCTGATGTCATCACAACGTGGGGACTTCCCAGGTATGAGTCGCTGCAGCTTTCTCAGTACTATTGCAGTGTTTATTTGGGGGGTGGCTATTTGGTCTTCCTCCTGTGAAATAGTCATGCCACCATTTTGGTTCGTAACGGTAATACCCACATTGCTGTTTAGCCGTTTGGTGAAGGCTAAACTGAATGTTTCAGCCATCTGCAGACAAGTGAGATATTGACCGTTTGGACCTACTAAGGCGCATGCCCCTGGTTGGTTTTCTTTTCGACATGAATCGATGCAAGTTTTTCGGGTTTGCAAGGAGTTTTTTAGCAAGGTTAGCCTGGAATGACCTCCTGTCCCTCCTGACTCTTGCATTGCACCGGATCCTGAGTTCCAGGTATGCGTCATGGTCGATCTGACTCTTAGATACGCGCCACGCAAACCAAGCCTTCCGCTTTGCTTGCAGAATACGCTGCGTGCCTCTCTTTAACCATGATGACTTTCTTTTGGGCTGTGTTGTGACTAAAGCGACGGTATCCAAGATTACTGTATGAATAATCTTTTTTACCGCTTCCCAGTGTTCATCCACAGACAGCTCATCCCATGCTAAGGGCCAGTCTGCATCGGACAAGAGCCTCCGCATTTCAGCATAGTCAGCCTTGCTATAACACAGACATGGCTGCGTAGCGTCCCACTGCAAGTGCTCACGGAGAACGAGGTCGAAACCTATGACTGCATGGTCACTACTTCCTGCTGGAAATTTTCCATTTTTCTATATGTCTCAGATATATACCCAAATTTTAATGCAAGTCCGGTGACTCTACACTCTAGCATTCCAAAACGGCGTTTATTTCGAATTGCGCACTTCCACTTCTTACGAATCTGATTGGTCGCTACAGGTAGTTTCGTTTCGGGCTGCTCATGTGTGGAGTTGCCGTAAATCCCCTTGATTTGTAATATTTACTAGTATCATGTGCTAAATAATGAAAAATGCGTACGTCACATATACTTCCTGAAACTACTGTTCCATACCACAGGAACTATTTGCCTTAACAAAAAAACATAACCCTAGTATTCCGAACTTATTGTCCAGCCCGCGGAATATTTCCAATGTCCAATGCTCCTCTAAATGAACATGCATATGCCATGTGACTTCTTGTTGCTTCAGATTAGTTCTACCCTCCTGAATGCCACAGTGCTGCTAGATACGATGAGATATGAGCTCATGCGACGGAATGAGCTAGACTGCTTCGAACCAACGGACATCTTCAAAGTTAGAGTTCACCTTTTCAAAACCTAGGCTGCTACATCACCCTATCACTTTAGACAGGCTTCCCTTAGCTGCTTGTTCCCTATAACCCCTCTTCAGAAAGAGGCAGGCGACCATTTATGTGACAATTACTAGAAGAAGGATAATTACTCGGTACCTTTTGGGTTTATGTTCCAACTGAATAAAATATGCGGCTATACTGTCCGTGTTATTATTCCCATTGTTAATCTTTGCCTTTTGCAACCACACTGTTTCACCTGTATTTAACGGTGTCCTCTAATTCTTTCTATCTTTGTACTCTTTCTATCTGTGTTGTACTGTCTGAAATACTTTGTGTGCAAAAGTATGGTGCCTGACACTGTCAATACCATTTTCAAAATCGTCAGTGAGTCATCCTAAAATAGAATGACTAGCGTATCACTAGTAGGGTATTACTCACGACAAATGCAGAGAAGTTGTGGCGTTTTTTATCTGTATGATAACGGGCGATGTGGTAACAAACTTGCTGTGTGTCTGCAAACGTTTACAGAAGCGCCCAATAGCTGAAATCATACTTTCCATCAATCTACGCTCTTCAGCATGACCTAATGTGGCTCTATGTTTTCAAATCCGGAATAAGTGGCATATTTCTCCAGTCAAGACTGTGAATTTCTTCCCTTGGTTAGAATGCAATTGTTCGGGAAATTCAGCAGTCAATATGACTTTGGCTACAACAGAAACATCAGTTCGCTCGAGTATCCAAGGAATGTACCAGACTAAGGTGCATTTGTTCGCAAGCCTCCTCTGTTATAACTGTCCCAAAATGTCCACACTAGCTATCTGATTCAGGTATCGGCTTTCATATAGGTAATCGATGCTATAAGTTCTCTCATTGGTTTCGTTATCGTAACTCATGTCATACTAAGACGGACAAAGTCTCGAACGTCCTGTGATCGCCAAGGCCACCGATATCTTTGGGCGATTGCCCGCAGAATTTTTTCACTCCTGCCTGCCCCAAGTCACAATACTCATCTTTTTAAAACAGCTGTAACGAAAGACTGAATGACTGCAACTCTCCCCAAGTAATTAGCACCTGAGTGAACACAAAATACCATCCGCAATCGCCAGATAGTCCCACAAGGCTCAACAGCGACTCACCTATCAACCCCTCTTTCTTAAAGCAGCTCTGGTTAGTGTTCTATTATGGCTGTGCAGTGCTCCATATAAACAGTTTCGTTTCAGTGTCCGTTGCTCAGACGTTTACCCACTGCTCAACCCTGCCAGTTATACAGCGTATATATCAAATTCCTCCCACAAAGGGCAATTTCCATATGGTCTGAATGGCCATCTAGATAATGCACCAATAATTAAATCGCGTCTGTCATGGCAGTGCACGCCACCTAGCCATGTGTTCTTTAGGGTCTTAAGAATTCCACAACCAATGCAGTACCCTATGAGCTGCTTTGGGCATGGATTTACCAATGATATAGGGTCTCTACTGATGGCCAGCATCTTCCTGTAGATACAACTCTTTTATTTTCAATTAAAAGTATGGCTGCTGTATTATATACTAAGTATTTTGCTATTGCTACCAACTTCAGATAATACAGTGCCAGTTGATGCTTGGCTGGTATCAGTATCTAAGATGGACTTATCGGCCGCTGGAAATGTATCTGGGAAGGTTAAAATAGATGCTTGCCACAGTGAATTCTCCAACAGACTGAAAGCACGATCACAATCCCCTATGCACTCTAAAGGAATGATTTTCCCCGTTCACCTTGTTAATGGGCTTGCTGCTTCAGAATAACTGCTCGCGAAACGACGACAATTTGAGGCCAGTCCACGAAATCTATGTACCTCATTCTCATTCCTTCATATGGACCACTCTCTAATGGCTAATAATTTTCCTAAATCGCTTGGCATTCCTTTCGCTCCCGCTATATGTTCATTCCTTAGGCCAAAAAGCACTATATCGCTTTCATGCAAACCTTCAGGTATAAGAAAAGCGGTCTTAGAGTAAATACGAAAACGCACTTCAACCCATTACTAACCTGAAGAAAATTCCAATGTTGAAAATCAAACGGACCACGTCAAGGCTTCCAACATTTAGTTGATTCGCTGCAAGGAGTGGGCGTCTTTCCATGTCAATGCATCTAATGTCATCCATTCCACATGAAAACGGAGTGATCTGCCTTCTTTTTCAACAGACCTAGAAAATATAACGAAGCATGTTTTGCAAAGATTCAATATATGTAAGGGTCCTAGTGCTACTGGCTGTTTGGGCACGTAACAGATGGCTAACGTGATTTCAGACAATATAACCAGCAACAAGAAACGAGGTGAAGAGAACCAATTTGCCTTAAATATTAGATAATGAGAAGGATATCAGAAATTGGCAACTGCTTCAACACTACGGAGTGCCCCAAACACATATGAACCGAAGATGAAAGTGCGGAGACGGTGGAAGATGCTGGCCAGTTGTGTAGGCAGTTTCTACAAGAGAGAATCACTACAGTATGTCGGACATCAAAAATCACTTTTGAGTCTCAAGACTTCAGCATGGATTGTGGGAATTTGCAAAAATGTCAAAGTATTCAAATAGCCAAGCGCCTTAGAATAGTGCCTCTTAGTATGCTTATTTAAATCTCTGTAATCTCCACATGGTTGCATCTCTGTTGGTACCACATGAAGTGGTGATGAGCATGGGCTGTTTGATGGTCGTATTATTCCTAGATCCAACAATCTGTCGAAATCTTCCTTTGCCATTTGCAGTTTTACTGGATCTAAACGACGTGGTTTCGCTGCGACAGGTTGACCTTTGGTAAAAATTTGGTGCGTTACGTTGTTTCTGAGAGAGGCTGTGGAGTAATCACTCTATGTGAGTTCAGGGAATTTGTTGTAGCAAAGTTTCGTACTTGCATAACTGATCTGATGAAGCTACAATCAAGCGGATACTGTCGACATCGGTGAAGATGCCCGAAACCGATAGTTTGCGATTGCTATTTATCAATCTATGGTGACTGGAGTCGACTGGCAATTAGGAGTGCTGAAGAAAATCCATCTTAGTTATAAGAAAGGTTATATCGGCAGTTGCAAGCTCCGGCTCAAATGGTATACTAGCTTCTGCACCGGTATCTGTTAGGAGTTGTGCTCCCTTTATTTTTTCTGTCACCCTGAAGAGACGACTGTGAAACAGGTGTTGGCCAGCGACCGCAATTGTCACCGACAGCCAGCCTTTTCGTTTCCCGACACCATAGGCAGGTAGAAAGCACATGGTTGTGTGCACCATTAAGCCTGTATACCAAATTTTCGATGATAACAGCATATAGTCCATTGTTAGCTATATTTACATACCTTGAGAGAGCGACTATGCTGCATTCTGTATGATGTAATAGGTTGCCTATTAAACCTCATCGTCATTAGTTGCCCGGTCAGAACGTCCACTTTACGTTCTAGTGCTTCTATGCCTTCGTTTGATGATTTGTCGAATACAGATGTTACTTGTGGAGACATACCTTCATACATTCTTGGGAATTACCAGCCGTCACAAGCCCACCCCCACTCTTTTATTTTGAGTTTATTGAAGTGAATGAAATCCAAATTCACAAGAAAGTAGAGTGTTTACGGATGAAAGAATATGTGTTGGAATTATGTAATCTGCATTATAGTTACTTGCAAAACATTCCCAAATATAAATCATATTGGTATAAGCTATTTCTGAAATGTTTGAAAGCCAACTTATTTCTCACTTTATGTACGTACATATATAAACTTTGAAATACGTTTCAGACAATGGATGAATCCACTATGAAATAAATATTGTGTCAGAAACTGCGATTCCGAAGGACTAAGAGGTGTCATGAGAGAGAGACAGATAAATAAAATCTAAAAGAAGGCTTCCGATTTGTTGAATCACAATTTGTCAGGATTACAGCCCATCGTCACAAGCAGTTTTGCCCCAAATCTATAAAACCTGGCTTTATCGAACAGATACGTGTTGTCACTTTGTATGTTTCATTACCATCCTTGTAGAATGGCTTGCATTCTGTGATGTCAGCATGTAGGTCTATACACGACGGCATTCGCCTGGAGAGAGAGCCGAGATCCTCTGTGAATCACTGATTTCGTAGACCTGTGGCTTTTCAGCGACATCCATCCGTGGGACTTGAGGAATGAGACGAAGAGTTGGTCAGCCTTTTAGGTGGCGCCGTGGCGTTAAGGACTGTTGTGTTAACTTTTGTTGCTGTATGTTGACTCTCTAGATCAGGTTCGGAAGACAATTTGAACCTGTCTGAAGACGTAGATGGATAGAAATCAATGACAAACATGCTGCAATTTCTTCCTTACTCTTCTTTCCGAATGTGACAGATATACCCACCTGTTTTCGTTCCTTTGGTGCTCAACTACTTCATTGTTCTTATCCTCATGTTGCTGTTCCTTCTTCGGTTTCGTGCATTCATTCATTTCCATATTGTACCAAGTTTGTGCTCCAAATAAATAGTATCATTAAATGTCGAGTTTTTATTTTATTTCACAAAGTTTTCAGATTGTGATAGTACTTTAGACGCAACCGGTAACAAACTCCATTGATTACGACGTGCATTACGTAGACCCTGTTTAAAGGTAGATACAGTGATCGCAAATAATCTCGCCAGTTGACTGGGGGAAGTTTATCACCATCTGTAAAGCGTGTCCGGAGTAAGTTATTTGCGTTGGCTGCTGTATGCTTAGGGACTTAGAGTTCCTTTCGGGGACTCCGCTTCATCTTACGAATCGGTGTTAACGTTCTACAGAGCAAAGCTGTCAAGAAGTGCAAGGAATATTTTGTGGAATGTTTGTTTTCGTCAACTTCTTTCTCAGTTTCTAAATTGTAACTTTCGCAAATATCATCATTACAGTAATCATAAAAGACACAAAACAAGATTATTTGATTATTGATGTCCATTGATATCGGAACTGCTGAAACTGTTAAGGAAACAAGTAGGTAGCTTGTGGAGTGCGTAACAATGTGATTGTACACTTTTTGGTTATTTGTAGAAATTAGACATATTGTACATAATTTTTGTTTAAAACGTTTCTGGTTGAAATACCCTTGTCTTCCGTGAACGATTGGAAAATACACTCTGTTGTGAAGTAACTTCTGCTTTTGTTGTGTAAATCGCATCAGAAGCTTTTTGGTTTATTTTAACTGGTTTAATTAGTTAAAGTAGTGTCTATTTTTGTGCACTTTTGTGACTTTTTGTGTTTTTATATCTCTGTATTTAGGTAAATATATATATATATGTATACATATTTGTGTGTAACTTAAGCAGCTTATACTAGCATGAATCCCACAAATAGTTGTGGACGACCGGACTGCCACTTTCCGGTGGAGGATGGGATGCAGTGTGATAACTGCAACCTATGGTTCCATAAAGTTTGCACTGGCTTTTGTAATATTAGTGAACTCTAACATAAGTCCCCTACAAATTAATTAATTTATTTTTTATTTATTTTTTTATTTATTTTGATTCACAGCTTGATTCCACACCGTACTTTCAGTACAAGTGTGGAATTTTCAGCATTGGTTAGCCCGACGTGATTTTCTTATAAGCGGTGTGTTCCGCACATTTACCAGTTTGCGTGTTGTTTGTGAATCCCCAGGGACTTAACTCACTACTCTTTCGGATTGTCTCATGGAATTATACTCCCAGCTTAACCGTGCTCAGCTTAGTTACGACTATCTCCACACCAACTCGACGACCCATGAGTTTCTTTTTGGTGCAATCGCGGAACTTATTGATAATGCTCGTGATGCTGGTGCGACAGAGCTGGACATATATACAATTAAGGACAGTTCCGTACGTGGGAATTTCCTACTCTGTTTTGCAGACAATGGTTGCGGCATGACAACAGATGAGGTCAAAAATGTCATAATATTCGGGAAGTCACTAAAGAAGTGTGAGGACAGTGCCGCCATAGGTATGTATGGGAATGGCTTAAAATCTGGTTCTATGCGAATTGGAAAGGACTTGATTTTGTTCACCAAAAAGGATGGCATATACACATGTTTATTTCTCTCAAGGACTTTCCACGAAGAGGAGAAACTTGATGAGGTAGTTGTTCCTATGCCCTCGTTTAAAGGCACAGAGAAAACTCCTATTGCGGACACTCCTGAAGAGAGGAAGAAACATGAACTCGAAATGTTTATAATTCTGAAGTATTCGCCATTCCGCTGCACGAAGGATTTCTTCGCACAATTTGATAAACTTAAAGAGAATTCAGGGACCGTAGTGATTATATACAATATGAAGCTTCTCGACCATGGAGGACCTGAGTTGGATGTAACTACAAATACCAGAGATATACTTCTTAGCCCTGGTTCAGAACAAGAAGAGACCGTTGAACGGGATGCAGAAGTTATGCTCCCACCTGAAAGACGCAGTCTTCGGGCGTATGTATCAATTCTCTATTCTGACCCTCGTATGAAGGTGTATTTACAAGGTCGGAAAGTACAAACCAAAAGACTACTTGCAACGCTACATAGTGCTCGAAAATACAATTTTGCTAGTAAAACTTTTCGTACCAGAGCTGAAGCAGATTTAGCAAAAGCTAAAAATGATGTGAGAATAGCTGAGCTTCGTGCTCAAGAGGCAGAAAGCAAGGCTCGGGATTGTGAACTTCGCTACCAAGGCTCTGAAGACCCTGAACATTTGCGTCGAATACGTCGTCTTAAAAATGCTGCTGCCGAGCTACGTTCAGCTGTGGAAATGAAACAGAATATTGTTGCAAGAAAATCAAAATCAATCAAGGATCCTAAGACGCTTACATTTTATTTCGGTGTAAATGTTATGAATCGTGCTTGTGATGGTATGTTTGTTTATAATTGTTCCCGTTTAATCAAAATGTACCAACGGATTGGGCCACAACAAGATTCTAGCATGATGTGCCGTGGTGTCGTTGGCATTGTTGATGTCCCCTATATGGTCCTTGAGCCCACACATAATAAACAAGATTTTGCAGATGCTAAAGAATATCGTCAATTAATGCGTGCAATGGCAGATCATTTAATGCAGTATTGGGATGATCTTGGAATCGATAAAGAATCAGATAGTTTAATACGATTTTGGAAAAGTTTTGGTTATTTGTCAGCACGTTGGCGGGATCCACCTAGTATAGAGGATAAATATGCCTGTCGTCGTTGTTGTTCCGTTTCTATATGTGTCCAGTGTGATAAATGTCTAAAATGGAGAATACTTCCGTTCTCACAAAGTCTTGTCGGACGAGATGTCCCAGATAATTGGCAATGTCGAGATAATACGGATCATAAGCATAAAAAATGTGAAGATCCCGAAGAAGATATGAGTCCACCAATGGGAGTTCTTAAGCGAAAAATTAAAACGAAAGAACAAAGACAAGCAGAACTTGAAAAACAAATCCGCAAAAAACAAGAGGAACTTGAATTAATTCAAGATCCTGATGATGAAAAAACTGATGATTCCAGTGCCACTTCTAACCGTAGTAGTCGGTTAAGTGGATCTGCCAATGGCAAATCTCCACGTAAACGGCCTTCTCAACCACCTCCACCTACTGCAGATCCTCCGAACAAAAAATCTACTCATGCTCCTCCGCCGCCGCCGCCTCCTCGTGCTATGACAGTTGCTGATAAGAAACGTCAAGCTGCTGGATTAGCATCATCCAATGGTCCTTCATCTTCAACAGTTGAAAAGCGTACTGGTTTACCGTTACCAACAATTAATCAACGCCAACCACGTCCTGGTGGATTAGTCCCTAAAATCCCACAGCGTAATTCAATTGCTCCTAAAGTACGCAGAGTTACAACAGCTGAAGATGAAAGCAGCAATGAAGAGACTAGTGATGAAGAAGAAGACGAGGAGGAGGAGAAGGAGAAAGAGAAAGAAGTTACTAAGCAGACAACTCCGAAAACTAATCGTAACAAACTAAGTACTCCTCCATCAAAAGTGAATAATCCTGTTGTTGCTGCAGCGAGTAGTTCAACAGTACCGAGTACTTCTCAATCCCAAGAGAGAAATACGTCGAGAAGCACTGATGAAGTAAATGGAAAGAAGGCTAGTAAAAGGGAAAAGAGTCCTGTACAAGATGTAATTACAGTGCATCATCGAAACAGAAATTCAACGGATCGTGATAATAATGGTGAAGTAGCATCGATTCCAATGAAAAAAGATCCGCTGGTAAATGAGAATTCAGTTGGAGATAAAACAACAGAGGTGAATTCCTCTTCAACTGTAGTAACCTCTTTTCCCTCAGAAACGAATATTGCAATGAATAGAAAAATCCAAGAGAAATTCAAGGTTTGTTTACGATATTTCTTACCGCCGTCATGGTCAGTGGAAAAGGATAGAATTCATACACTTACAGAATCAGATCTTGCAAGCTTCCCTTTAGAAGATTTCTTTGATAGATATGAACAAGGTCTTCGAAAACTGTTAACCTCCTTCCGAAAGGAAACCGCAGTAGTCACAGATCAACTGACAGAATTACGGTCCAATGTTTGTGAATTTCTGAAGAAATACGATCCAGACTTCAAAGAACCCTTGAATAATATCGAAGAAGTGGATAATTATCTGAAAAATTTCCTTGCAAAAAGTTGAATTCCTCCGCTCACCATAAAAAAAAACATCTAGACCAATCATTGGTTGGTGGTTGAATTAATCTACTCCCTGTGCAAACGGAGTTTCTCCTCTCCTCTCCTCTACTCATGCGCGCAGCTGTTATATATATACATATATATAGTAATTATTATTATTATGTTTGCCTGTTTTATGGTTGGTGTCTCACCGAATCTCTTTTGACTCTTCTCTTTTTGTGCATATTAATGTATTCCTTCAAGAACTGTCTGTCTATAAATCTACGTGTTGTTACTCTCTATATGTATATATATATATATATATATATCTGTATACAACATAGCAAAACAACAACAACAACAAAAAAAGTATTAAAAATTATTATTATCTTTTTCGTTTAGACATTATTATCAGGGCCGTTAGTATTTCGTTGTAAACTTTGATGTTACTATCACTATTATTTACTTATGTGTACCTCACCTATAAAACAGGCATTGTCCTTTTCAGAAACTCTTGATCTTTCATCCATATATATATATTTTTCGTTATACATTGAAAACCTATGCTCATGGTTAGTGCAAATTTAAAAGACATGACTTTCTGTTTTAATTTTTTGATTGCTGAACTAATTGTATATGCTTTCAGACTTTACATGACTCCCATAACTTCTTACGTTTATGCATGTTGTAATATATCCCTATTTTTATGCAAAGATTGTTATTACTATTATTATTTACTTCACAGCTTTACTTAACCTTTTCCGATGGTCTCTCCGGACCTCTAGGGGGGAGCCCTGTGGAGTGCGTAACAATGTGATTGTACACTTTTTGGTTATTTGTAGAAATTAGACATATTGTACATAATTTTTGTTTAAAACGTTTCTGGTTGAAATACCCTTGTCTTCCGTGTACGATTGGAAAATACACTCTGCTGTTGGAGACTTCGTCTTCTCCTTGGTTTCTTTGGGGTTACTAGCTCAGCTCTCACCGTGTTGTATCTTTCGGATTTATTGTAGGAGTCCACTACGCTCAGCCGAAGACAATTATACAACCGGGACACAGCAGCTACAACCTACTCCGTCCAAAGAACTAACGTCTCCGTGGGTTATATAAATAATTTGTAGCAGAGGACTTCAACTTTATTTCCAAGTAAACCTTTTGTTGATATAACGTGTCGTTGCATTTTTGGTAATATACTGTCACTTAACATTCCATTGACTTGAATTTTATTTCTCATATTTTGTAATACTAGTGAACTCTAACATAAGTCCCCTACAAGCTATTATTTGTACGATATGTTACAGTTCATTTGTTCAAAACGCTTTCGTTACTGAATGCATGCTCGTTTTTTACTAATGTTCTGTTACATGGAGGAGCACGATTCATTTGTAATTACATTAGCTTACACAAGGCGTACGTGGGAATGCCTATTTCATTCTTGAAAGAGCTTGTACTTCGGTGTATATTGAAGCTCTAATTTCCTTTGGGTGCTGATCACTATGGGTTCGGCACTAGTAAAATTGTTAACAGATTTCTTTTTAACTGGTACAGTGTAATCTTGTGCCTGCTATCAAGAGAGCGATAAAAAAATATGCGAATGAAATGTTCGTCGTATGTGATGGTAACTGCAATTTGGAAGACACTCCGACAGTATTCATTAGCAGCCATCCTACTCTCCAGTTTACGTTAGAAAAAGAAATTAGTAGTAAAGTATCTCTCCTTGATATTCTACACACAAAGAGAGCTGATGAAACATTGAAAAGATCAAATGCAGAAGTCGGTATGGATGGGGTAACTGAATAAATGGTGCACTTTTTCCTCCACTGACAGAAAAACAAATTTAATCCGATATTGCTCAGCACATGTTCAGAGAGTCTGTAGTGAGGACATTGCTGATGAAAAGCTTAGACAAATGAAAGGAACTTTCGTGGAGTATGAATGTGCAATACAGTTTTTTGGGGCAATTGGTAAACTGTCTGGAAGAAATTCAGACTGGAAGAATATACATAAGAAGATGTTGCAGCCAAAGGTAGAATTTGGAGTGACAGCATGTGTGAGACCTTAGTAACTGATTGACGAGGTAACAGAGGAAACTATTCTTTACTGACTCTCTGAATAACTTATGCAAGCCCTCCATTTTTGCACCCTGATGTTAAGGGGATGTTACAACGATTATCCACTTCTACCTGAAGTTATATGTTAGCCTTCTGTTGTTAAACTATCTATATAGGAGTTTCATCTAGATAGATATCTTGCTGCATCATGGAGCACGTTCCATTCAGGCTGAGCAAAGGAGGGCGTTAAGCTGTTAATTCAACCGCATTACAGCATGTGGCATAAGTGCAACCGTTAACACAGAGAAAGTCTTTGTAACACATAACATAAAGACAGAATTTTGTGTGCAAAAATAATTCGTAAGATTCCTTTTGTTAACTTGGGCTTAATTTTACCATGTCATTCGTAAAACTTCCTTATTCGTATTTTTTTAGATAGGCTGTACTATTTCGCTCTACGTTATTGTGATCTAACATACTCTCTATTTTATTGACAATACTTTTCTCACCTTATTTTCCTAACTTACTGAATTTAACGTGATAAACTAAATGCACTGAATCTTGCAATCATCTATTTACTGAATTCTATTGTAGTCAGTGCTGACCTCGAAGTATTCATGTTTCCAAACAGTTTGGATTTCATATTCATTTAGGACCATAGCAACGCGCTTCAATGTTCCCACTTACTTACGAATTTTAATACATAAAAAGGAAATTTATTTGTAAGTATCTTCTGTGACTCATATACAAAAGGTGTTGTACAGCTTTGAGAATGAAATCGCTTTCAAAGGGATATTTCTTCCTGAATTAAGATCAAAATGGAAACTGTCAATATAAATAAATGTGGTTAAATTAAAAGATGCAATTAAAATGGGGTTATTTCGACATTGATTTAAAAACATGAAGAATAATTTAAAATAGGTATGAATATAGGACAAATTGGTGGAATGAAGCGTCAGTGAATCTGTAACTCCCATTTGCATATTTAGAAAAATGGGAATTTGAAGCTACTTAAAATACGGGTTTCGTAGGACGACTTATTATCAAGAGAATGGCAGAAAGTGTGAATGCAGCAGTCAAATAAGAAATGCTCAATGCTGGTTGACAGGGTGGCAAATAGTGATGGTGTGATATAAAATTGGTGCTCTGTAGGGGAATAGGAGTGGCGAATGAAGGGCGATTAAGATGTTGAGGTACATGTCGACACCTAATCATTTAAATTAGTTGGTATAAGTCTCTGATAATTTCATACTAAACAAATACAGTTACATAGCCTGAATTGGATTTCGAGTGCACAGTTAAGATTTACTCTAACTGTTTTCCCTAGCTTCATCTATGCTTATCGGAATTAATGTCGTGCCTCTGTGCTGACCAATTTGTATTTGATGTATCTCTAAAAATCCTGCTTTTGTTTGATCTGATGTTTGCTGTTCACCAAATGAAACAAAATGGTCTTATTTATTTGCTCCACCTCAAACCAAACTGCAGAGATGATAACAGATGCACAAGGATGATGTCATTTAGGCACTACTTACATCTAGCCTCACAGAAGCGGTTAATTTATATATATACATTGATTTAGCTACCCTTGACAATTCATCTTTAATTTTCTGAATCTATTTTTTAAGGGATTTGATTTGTTCACGAATTACCATCACTTAGAGAATCACTGAAAACGTGAAGTACTGGACAGCTGTTTCGTTCTAGTCTGGTACTTATCTTTGAGCATTGAGTCGACCACCGTTGGCTAAATGGTCTACGACCCAAACTAGTATCCTGAAGATCCTTGGTTCCAACCCCGGTGAATAAGTATTGCCAATGAGTCCCAAACTAGGACGAATCAGCCGTCTTTAGTTTGCGGCAACAAAGGTCTGCTTGATAAACTGATGTGTAATTTTACCACTATCGACGTATTGATCTTACGATTTAATATATCACCATACGTTTCGCCTCCAAACAACACTCGTTTTAAAATTTCCATCTTATTGACAGCATTCGCCTTTAATTTATCACTGTGTGTCGTTCACAAGATTGCGGCGATATCCATTTTGTAATAAAATCCACTATGTGTTTCGCATTTTTGTCATCCCTATGGTTGCATGAGCATAGGGATGTTATCTTGTGACTTGGATAGTCAATTACATTTCGTTTGTATTGTGTCCGTATGTTACTATCGAAATCGATGTAGTATCTGTTTTCATATGAATGTTTCTTTTTCTACACCACTATGCTTTCGACAAGGAGAAATTGCTTTCGTTCTTTCCATATTTCAATGAACCAGCAGGCTATGTTTTTACTGTCACAAATGTTCGTTTCGGTCATGCCACGCCAGAAATGTCCATCGGACAGTATGAGTTATTTACATTATGTTGGGAGTCTTGCATGTCGGTCTTTGGATATGTATTCCACCTTTGAGTCAATCACGGAAGACCCAAATATAGTTATTCATTCAATCTCCCTTGATCAAGATGGAGACTATTTAGCTGGTTTAGTTGAACGTGTTGGTGCAGGGATATCACTGAGCTTCAGAGCATGCATTTCATTACCTGAGAGTACAACCCACTGAACAGGCGTCTGTGTGCTATCCGGTTTCATGATAAGTGAGAATGAGGAAACACCATGCTACCCGTTCATGTGTTTTCATCACCTCCGCCTTCATCCCATCTGACTGAAATCTGTAATAAGTAAAGGGTTGGTTCTATCGAAATCTAACTAGTTTTCTGCTTAAAACAGAAGACTTCAATGCTGAAGCTGATAGGTTGAGCCGAGCGAAAAACATATCGGAAGAATCTATGGATTCCCATACTAGTGAACCAACAACGGCTATCAATATTATGAACAATAAATTGTGTTCAACAATTGTCTTCCGCTTCATGATATCTGTTTGGATTTCAGCTGGAGGAAGGAACCAGTGGATAACTCTACAATAATTAACGAATGGATACGACCAGTCTACTTCTACTGTTTCTTAACCACATGCCTTGACGGCGATCGTACACTAGTTCAGGTATATGGGCATATAGAAAATAAGCGCCTGAGAAGTTCATACGTTATTTTATTCAAAGGGGAGGTGACTAGGCATATACCTGATTCATAGCCGTAG